CGGCGGGCAGACGCCAGGCCGGACTCACCGATGTTCATCCAGTAGATGTGCAGCGGGGGCAGGCCCCGGGGCGGGCTGCAGGGGAGCACGACGGGGTCCCCCTCCTCCACCTCCAGGGGCTCGATGTTCTCCTTCGGGAACTTCGGGATATCTGGCGCGAGGGAGAACGGCGCATCAGCCACGAGCGGCCTCGGCACCTTGCAGGCAGCAGACACTTCTAGGTGAGCGCGAGCTGGCCGGGCGCCGAGGGGCCGCGGGGGCGGCGGCTCCTGGGCCTGCACTGGACACCCGCAGCCCCGCCAGGGCCCGGGCAGGCTGGGCGGGGGCGACGCGCAGGCCAGCGGACTCGCCTGGGGCAGGGGCCGCCTCCTCCGCGTGTCGTGTGGCCGCAGCAGAGTTGGCCAGGGAACCAGCCACCTGCTCGCCCACTGCTGCGGCCAGGGTCCGGCCCGGCCAGCCAGCCACCCGGCAGCAGACCACTCCTGTGCCCCCTGCCCTCAGCGGAGGGTGCAGGGGACGCGCCTGCCGTGCGCCCGCTGTCTCTGGGGGCCTCTCATCCCACCTCTGGCCTGCGCCCAGCTCTGGTGAGCAGCCGTAGAGCAGAAGAAGCCCTGAAAACGCCCCTGGCTGCAGAATCCTCTGCCCACGGTGCTGGCGGCTTCTTTGCAGCGGCGTGGCCACCACCGGGAGCCACCCTCGGGCGCGGCCCTCCTGCTCTCTCCTGGCCCCATTAGGCCACGGATGTGGGTGCCGTGGCCTCGTGTCTCCAGTGAGGCCACGGTGCACAGGACCTGCGGCTCCGCCCGGCGCAGCCCCCCAGGCAGGCAGGCCCTGGCCCATTGCCCCGACACCCGCTGGCCTGGGGCTGGCGAGCCAGCGAGCGCCACCCCCAGATGGCCTCCAAGCGAGGGTCACTGCTCCGCCAGCCCACACTGGACTGTCCCTTCACACAGGCCTGGCAACTGGATCCCCCAGACCTTTTCAGAATAAAGTGTGGCTGCGGCTGAGTGTGGAAGGGCCTCAGCCCCCCGCCTGCCTTTGAGGGCCCCCCAACCCCATCCTCTGCCGGCTGTCCCCGGAGTCTCGCGTCTGGGGGCACCGTGTGCTCTGATTTGCATTTTAGGGGTTTGGGTTCACCTCTTTCTCTGACTCCTGCCTCCCGACCCTCCGTTTCCTCCCCTGCGCACGCACCTCTCCTCCCTCACCGCGCACCCGCGCACACCGAAACGCCAGGGTCCAGCTCCGCGAGCTGCACGGTCGCGGGGGACGCGCCCTCGCCAGTAGCGGGCCGCGCGGAGGCGGCACCTGCTCTCCTGGGCGGGGCGGGGCGGGGGTGGGGCGGAGGGGGGTGGACTGTGGGGAGGGGCGCGGGCGGGCCGGACCTGTTTACCCGGCCTGGTTCACAAGGCGCCACAGACACAGCCCCCCGCCACGAGGCCACCGCAGCGCGGTCTGGCGCTCAGGCCACGCCCCCTCACTGCCCGGCTGCGGGGCGCCCTCACTCGCAAGCCGATGGCGAAGGCCGCAGCTCGCGGGGAGCTGGCCCGCAGGAGCCCCCAGCCCGCGAGCCCTGGACGGACCAGCCCGCCGGCACCTACTTGGCACCACGAAGCTGATCTCCTCCGACATGGCCACGCCCAGCCGGTTGGCCGCGAAGCACCGGTACTTGCCCTGGAAGGCGGCCACGTGGCCGTCGTTGGGGATCGTGAACGTGCCCGAGCCGCTGGACACCACGATCCGGGGGTCAGACAGGTCGAAGGGCTTCCCGTCCTTTGTCCACGAGAACCTGCACGTCGCAAGCAGACAGTCCTGAGGCCACACTGCCCGTGTGTGGGCATCCTAGAGCAGGTGCCCAGGACCCCGCAAAGGGGACAACCAGGCCTGCACGGCGCGGCGGGGCGGCGGGTCAGGCAAGGCGGAGGTCGGGCAGGGCGGTACTGGGGTCTCAGCGCCGTGGCCATGGAAGCGTCACCTTCACCTTTCACTGGCAGATGCACCGTCCCCTCGAGGACACGGGGTCAGGGTGAGCTGACATGCCCAGGGCCTCGCCAGGCCAGGCCACGCCGGCCACTGGGCAGGGACGCGACAACTGGGGGAGGGCAGCCGGGCTCTTCCCCG